AGACTGCTGTTTAAACTCGAGAGGCAGGCGGGGGTGGGGGGAAAGGCCTTAGCATGGGTAAGGAACTACCTAACAGGAAGGAGCCAGAGAGTTACGGTAAGGGGCGAAAAGTCGGACTGGCGAACAGTAACGAGTGGAGTACCTCAAGGATCGGTGCTGGGACCAATTATGTTTCTAGTATATGTTAACGACATGTTTACAGGCGTAGAGTCCTACATGTCGATGTTGGCGGATGACCCAAAGTTGATAAGAAGAGTTGTGACAGGTGAGGATTGTAGGATCCTCCAAGAGGACCTGAACAGGTTGCAGAGATGGTCAGAGAAATGGCTACTGGAATTCAACACGAGCAAATGTAAAGTTATGGAAATTGGACTAGGAGATAGGAGACCAAAGGGACAGTACACAATGAAGAGGAACTGCCTACCTGTGACGACGCGAGAAAGAGACCTGGGGGTGGACGTAACACCTAATCTATCTCCTGAGTCACATATAAATATGATAACGACAGCAGCGTACTCTACACTGGCAAAAGTTAGAACATCATTCAGAAACCTAAGTGAGAAGGCATTTAGGGCGCTTTACACTGCCTACGTGAGGCCAGTCTTAGAGTATGCCGCCTCATCATGGAGTCCCCATCTGAAGAAGCATATAAGGAACGGGAAAAGGTTCAGAAGTTTGCGAAGAGACTCGTCTCAGAGTTACGAGGGATGGGATATGAAGAGCAACTTAAGGAGTTGAACCTGACGACGCTAGAAAAACGGACAAAGAGAGAAGAGACATAAAATACTCAGGGGGATTGAAAGTGTGCAAATAGAAGAAATGTTCGCATTGAATACCAGTAGAACAAAGGGACATGGGTGGAAGCTTGAGATTCAGATGAGTCACAGAGATGTTAGAAAGTGTTCATCTAGCGTGAGAGTAGTGGGGAAATGGAATGAATTAAAGGAGCAGGTTGCAAACTTCCTTTATAATTTTAAGAGTTGGTAGGATATATAAATAAAACGTTGAAACTCGCTTTAAGACCACCACAACACCTTACTGACCAACCAGCAAGTTTGGTGTTGGACTTAAGACCTATCAACCTCTGGAGAGTTATTAAGACCACCACAACACCTTACTGACCAACCAGCAAGTTTGGTGTTGGACTTAAGACCTATCAACCTCTGGAGAGTTATTAAGACCACCACAACACCTTACTGACCAACCAGCAAGTTTGGTGTTGGACTTAAGACCTATCAACCTCTGGAGGGTTATTAAGACCACCACAACACCTTACTGACCAACCAGCAAGTTTGGTGTTGGACTTAAGACCTATCAACCTCTGGAGGGTTATTAAGACCACCACAACACCTTACTGACCAACCAGCAAGTTTGGTGTTGGACTTAAGACCTATCAACCTCTGGAGGGTTATTAAGACCACCACAACACCTTACTGACCAACCAGCAAGTTTGGTGTTGGACTTAAGACCTATCAACCTCTGGAGGGTTATTAAGACCACCACAACACCTTACTGACCAACCAGCAAGTTTGGTGTTGGACTTAAGACCTATCAACCTCTGGAGGGTTATTAAGACCACCACAACACCTTACTGACCAACCAGCAAGTTTGGTGTTGGACTTAAGACCTATCAACCTCTGGAGAGTTATTAAGACCACCACAACACCTTACTGACCAACCAGCAAGTTTGGTGTTGGACTTAAGACCTATCAACCTCTGGAGAGTTATTAAGACCACCACAATAGCTCACCTAATTGTTCTTGCGGGGGTTGAGCTCTGGCTCTTTGGTCCCGCCTCTCAACTGTCAATCAACTGGTGTACAGGTTCCTGAGCCTATTGGGCTCTATCATATCTACACTTGAAACTGTGCATGGAGTCAGCCTCCACCACATCACTGCCTAATGCATTCCACCTGTTAACTATTCTGACACTGAAAAAGTTCTTTCTAACGTCCCTGTAGCTCATGTGGGTACTCAGTTTCCACCTGTGTCCCCTTGTTCTGTTAAATAATAGTTAGCCAAAGAATCTGCCTTTAAAGGAGCCGTTGAGTGTAACCTTGGATTGTCAATGAGCAATCTGAGAGCAGCAGTACACCGAGAACTTCAACAAGATCTTGTAGATCTGAGGCAAAGTGAAATTGACACCAGTAATTCCATCTATCATCATACTATCATGCAAGAGGAGCCACACATCTATGGATCATCCAATAAAATCAGCAGACTTCTAGATGGTACTACTGCTCAGCTTAGTCTCGGTTACAAGTATCTCTGGGAATTGTCATTATCTGCTGATGTAGACCTGACCAAATGTAAACTGTGTCAACAAAATTATTCGCACACCCTCCGTCACTATGTGATGGAGTGCGAAAAGATACGTGAATTTAGAGACAATTCTATAACCAATGTTCCAGCGATGTGTCAATATTTCATTCAAAATGATCTGCTACCAGAAATTTTAGCCAAATATCCCCAGTTTGCTAACTGTAGGTAGTAACTGAGTGATTGTAACCTATCCACCGCTGCCCACTGGATGGGGGGCGGTGTGCAGGACAAACATATCAATTGTGACACTAACTCTCCACATATGTCAGTTGCTTAATTTAGAACCTGTACTTGAGGTCGATCTCGAACCCATTGATGATGTGACGACTTATACTGAATTTTGTAACTAGCTCATCAAGATTGTAACTTGCTTAGCTAAATGAATTGTGGGGTTCAGTCCCTGAGCCCATTATGTGCCTCTGTAACCCTTTCCACTTCTGCCCACAAGATGGGTATGGGGTGCATAATAAGTGAACTAAACTAAAACTAACTATCTACCCTGTCAATTCCCTTGTTAAGGACCTGCCCGAAACCCTATGCGTACTAGTGGCTTTAGGTATTGTATGTACTACCTCTATCTATAAATCCAACATTATGTTTGTAAAACAACTATGTATGTACTTTCCTGAATAAAATTTACTTTACTTTACTGTAACAACTCTTGTATACATAAATAAAATAAAAATGAAATGAGTATTTTCTGTATTTTTATAATTAAGACTATTATTGGAATTGTTCATAACTTCAGTATTCTTCTGAAATCAGATTTCATTATATCGTATCATTAGTTGTAATTTTGCCATTACACTTCTGTTAGATAATTACACTCATTATTTATGTTCTGGCTTCTCCCAGCAGCCATCGCTAACTCTATGTCCTCTCAGGTGTTCATGCAATATTCTCACATATATATTTGAATAATAAAAGTGTATCATAATGTGGAACGCGCCAATATATGCTTGTTTATTGTGGCAATTATACTCGACTTATAATCACCGAGGCTGTAGTTTGTCACGCCACCCACACTCCACGGTACGAGCGAGTAGTTTGTGATCACGACACCTGCACTCCACGGTACGAGCGAGTAGTTTGTGATCACGACACCCGCACTCCATGGTACGAGCAAGTAGTTTGTGATCACGACACCCGCACTCCACGGTACAAGTGAGTAGTTTGTGATCACGCCACTCGCACTCCACGGTACAAGCGAGTAGTTTGTGATCACGACACCCGCACTCCATGGTACGAGCAAGTAGTTTGTGATCACGACACCCGCACTCCATGGTACAAGCGAGTAGTTTGTGATCACGCCACCTGCACTCCACGGTACGAGCAAGTAGTTTGTGATCACGACACTCACGCTCCACGGTACAAGCGAGTAGTTTGTGATCACGACACCCGCACTCCACGGTACGAGCGAGTAGTTTGTGATCACGACACTCACGCTCCACGGTACAAGCAAGTAGTTTGTGATCACGACACCCGCACTCCACGGTACGAGCGAGTAGTTTGTGATCACGACACTCACGCTCCACGGTACAAGCAAGTAGTTTGTGATCACGACACCCGCACTCCACGGTACAAGCAAGTAGTTTGTGATCACGACACCCGAACTCCACGGTACGAGCAAGTAGTTTGTGATCACGACACCCGAACTCCATGGTACAAGCGAGTAGTTTGTGATCACGACACCCGCACTCCACGGTACAAGCAAGTAGTTTGTGATCACGACACCCGAACTCCATGGTACAAGCGAGTAGTTTGTGATCACGACACCCGCACTCCACGGTACGAGCGAGTAGTTTGTGATCACGACACCCGCACTCCACGGTACAAGCAAGTAGTTTGTGATCACGACACCCGAACTCCATGGTACAAGCGAGTAGTTTGTGATCACGACACCCGCACTCCACGGTACAAGCAAGTAGTTTGTGATCACGACACCCGCACTCCACGGTACAAGCGAGTAGTTTGTGATCACGACACCCGAACTCCATGGTACAAGCGAGTAGTTTGTGATCACGACACCCGCACTCCACGGTACAAGCAAGTAGTTTGTGATCACGACACCCACACTCCACGGTACGAGTGAGTAGTTTGTGATCACGACACCCGCACTCCACGGTACAAGCAAGTAGTTTGTGATCACGACACCCGCACTCCACGGTACAAGCAAGTAGTTTGTGATCACGACACCCACACTCCACGGTACAAGCAAGTAGTTTGTGATCACGACACCCGCACTCCACGGTACAAGCAAGTAGTTTGTGATCACGACACCCACACTCCACGGTACAAGCAAGTAGTTTGTGATCACGACACCCACACTCCACGGTACGAGCAAGTAGTTTGTGATCACGACACCCGCACTCCACGGTACAAGCAAGTAGTTTGTGATCACGACACCCACACTCCACGGTACAAGCAAGTAGTTTGTGATCACGACACCCGCACTCCACGGTACAAGTGAGTAGTTTGTGATTACGCCACCCGCGCTCAGTCAGTCAACTTGGGTGCACATCAGATGTACCACCTTCTATATGGTCTTAGTGAATTGCCTTGGCAGTTCAATAATAGTTGTGGTGTTGGGTAATATATATTGTCGCTCTGTGCATATTATACTCTGTTGTTTACAGCGCCCGAGTCATTGAAACTGAAATTAGTGTTAAAGTTTTATTTATTCTATATTACATGGTATCTTGTCATCTATATAACATATCATCTATATTACATGGTATTACATGATTACAAGGCTATATTTGCATGGTGCGCAAGTTAGGGACACTGGCTTGTAGTTCAGTGCCTCCTGTCTATCTCCTTTCTCACATATCTGAACAACATTGGCCGTCTTCCAAATTTTTGGCAGTTCTCCTGTTACCATTGATTTGTTATACACCATTGAAAGAGGAAAGCATAGTGCTTCTGCTGCCTCCTTAAGGATTCATGACGAGATTTTGTGTGTGTGTGTATGTGTATGTGTTCAACAAGGAACAAGTAACTTTGTTGTAAAAAAAAAGGCGAAGTTTCCGTAGCATAAATCATTATTAGATTAAAACAGAAAAGAATGGCATTACATATATTTTCCAATAAATAGTTGCATGTGGAAAAATTACATGACACAAGTATTACACATATATGTTTAACATTTTAAATAAATGAAAAAAACTAGTTGAGATTAATAGCAGACAATATTTAGTAAATATAAACACCAAAATACATGATTGTATATAACAAACATTAATCACACTTCCAAATGAACAGTTACTAGAAGCAACATTCAGAAAACATTACAGCTCACAAGGTAGTGTTTTCTGTATGGTCAGCGCTGGTAAATGTGTCTTGATAGCACTTAAACCTCCAAAGTGACCATCGTTGAAGTGCCTCGCTGCCCACTGCGCTGCTCAAGGGGTTACGGGTCGAAATTGCTGTTGTGTTGTGGATTTTGAAAAGATCGATAGAGCGGATTGCCCCTTCTTCCAGGAGCCCCTAGATAGTCGTTTGTCCTTGAAGTGTCAAAGGCTTGCCTGGAGGACTTGGTGTCGAAGTCACAACGACTCTTGGAGTGTAAGTGATCGTACCAACTCGTAATCTTGGACTTTGAGGGTGTCTGGATGTCCGTAGCGCCCCGGTACCCCTTCGGAGTCTGATAAACATGTAAATCTCCATACACCTTCGGGGCGCTGTGGTTCTTGGCGCCCTGAAACTCTCTAGGAGCGTGAAAATCCCCATCGCTGAGGTAATCCTTGGTAGCCTGGTAGTGGGGTTCTTCGTGTGCCTCAAGAGACCTTTGGGAACCAGTTCGATTCAAGTGCTTCGGGTCCCTGAGGTCCATCGAGAACCCAGGGTTGTCGTGGGCTTTCGCCGAAGTCCTCCGCGCAGGGACCTGGTAGTGGTAGCCTGCCTCAAGAGTACTCTGAGAGTCGTACTTCGATGTGGTGATACTCAGGGCGGGAGTCTTCTTCGCCACCGACTGCCAGAACAAAAAAGGTCATTTTACCTATCTTCTGGGGCTTGTGTTGGTTCATAAAAATGTGGTATTTACCCTACCTTGTGGTACCTATCCTACATTGTGATACCTATCCTGCCTTGTAGTACCTACTCTGCCATTGGGTAACTATCCCTACCATGTAGTGCCTCTCACCTTCTGGCATCTATCCTGCCTTCATGTACCTATCCTACAACATGGTACCTATTTTTTCCCCTTGTTGAATGTATCGTGCCATGTGGAATCTACCATAATACAACCATCCTACCTTAATACAACCATCCTACCTTAATACAACCATCCTACCTTAATACAACCATCCTACCTTATTAACTCCATGTAACCAACCATACCCCCTAAATGTCAACCCATGTCTTGCTATTTTCAAACAATACTGTTTGTTGACCAACTTGTTTAATTGCTGATTTCTAACTATATCCCCCCCCCCTGTCAACACAATTTATAGTTTAATCTCAATTACTATTAAGTTTTAGTCTAAGTGTTTTTTTCCCCCACACCTTGCCCAAAACGCTGTGGGTATGAGTGCTTTTAGATATTGTATGCACTAGCTTTTTTTTTTTTTTTTGAGATATATACAAGAGTTGTTACATTCTTGTAGAGCCACTAGTACGCGTAGCGTTTCGGGCAAGTCCTTAATCCTATGGTCCCTGGAATACGATCCCCGCCGCGAAGAATCGTTTTTTCATCCAAGTACACATTTTACTGTTGCGTTAAACAGAGGCTACAGTTAAGGAATTGCGCCCAGTAAATCCTCCCCGGCCAGGATACGAACCCATGACATAGCGCTCGCGGAACGCCAGGCGAGTGTCTTACCACTACACCACGGAGACTTCTTACCACTACACCATGGAGACTCTATCTATAAATCTAACATTATGTTTGTAACTCATCTTTTATGTATGTACTTTTACCTGAATAAACATTTTGATTTGAATTTGATCCCTACCTGCTTCCTGCGAGTGTTGGTACAGGTGCTGGCTACGAGGACCACCACCAAGGCCAGGAGCAGGAGGCCGCCCACCACACCCACCACAATCACCACCGTCGGGTCAGCTGCTGACTCTAGGTCGTCCAGCTGGCTCTGGACGACCTCTTCAGCTCGGGTCACGACCTGTCGGGTGGGATGGTTGGCTGCTGTTAGTTGTGTGAGGGATAGGAACTCTCAGGAGACAGTGTCAAGCCATTACGACGGTGTAGCACTGGGAAGGGGTCAGGATAAGGGTTTGATATGGGACGGAGGTAAGGAATGGTGCCCAACCACTTGTGGACAGTCGGGGATTGAACGCCGACCTGCATGAAGCAAGACCGTCGCTCTACCGTCCACTCCAAGTGGAGGAAGGGTGTGCAAGCAGATATTAACTTCATAAACCTGAATTCTAAATCTAAAATCTTGTGTCAAGTTGATCCTCAGCCGGAAATATCGTCTTTACGCACATGTCCAAGAGTGTCAAAGCAATAACCACTAGCATGAGGACATGACAGACATATATAGACACTCATTGTCCAGGTGACGACAAAATTAGCTTCGTTAGATTAATATTTTAGTCTACCTTATCCCAAGAATATTTTCTCACTTTCATAAATAGAAAACGTTTTAATGATAAACTAAAGCAAACTGACACATGAACAAGTTACAAGTTTCCCGTTGTTCCCTCCCTTACCACTTCCAGCTGGTCGACCTGAGCCTTGAGCGCCGCCTTATCCAGACTGTCAACAAAGTCCGTATTGTCCGCTGCCTCGTCCACAATACTGTCCAGCTCCAGCGAGCAGTTGGTCAGTTTGTCTAGCTGATCCTGCGAGATGTCCCCGGCCTGTACCTCCTGCGTCACCTGCAGGATGTCCGCCAGGGTGGCGGTCAGTCGTGCACACAGGTCGTCGTCAGTAGCTGTCGTGTTGGGGTCACAGACTGGGTCGTCGCCCACTGACCTCACACGACGACCAGCTGCTGACGCTGCCACTAGCAGCAGTTTGGTTGATAAACCTTTCAAGGAATTGTCTGGAGTTTTTGGTGGTGGGGTTGTGGTAGTTGGTGTGGTTGTGGTTGTGGTTGTGGTAGTTGGTGTGGTTGTGGTAGTTGGTGTGGTTGTGGTTGTGGTAGTTGGTGTGGTTGTGGTAGTTGTTGTGGTTGTGGTAGTTGGTGTGGTTGTGGTTGTAGTAGTTGGTGTGGTTGTGGTTGTAGTAGTTGGTGTGGTTGTAGTAGTTGGTGTGGTTGTGGTTGTAGTAGTTGGTGTGGTTGTAGTAGTTGGTGTGGTTGTGGTTGTGGTAGTTGGTGTGGTTGTAGTAGTTGGTGTGGTTGTGGTAGTTGGTGTGGTTGTGGTAGTTGGTGTGGTTGTGGTTGTGGTAGTTGGTGTGGTTGTGGTAGTTGTTGTGGTTGTGGTTGTAGTAGTTGGTGTGGTTGTAGTAGTTGGTGTGGTTGTGGTTGTAGTAGTTGGTGTGGTTGTGGTTGTGGTAGTTGGTGTGGTTGTAGTAGTTGGTGTGGTTGTGGTTGTAGTAGTTGGTGTGGTTGTGGTTGTGGTAGTTGGTGTGGTTGTAGTAGTTGGTGTGGTTGTGGTTGTAGTAGTTGGTGTGGTTGTGGTTGTGGTAGTTGGTGTGGTTGTAGTAGTTGGTGTGGTTGTGGTTGTAGTAGTTGGTGTGGTTGTAGTAGTTGGTGTGGTTGTGGTTGTAGTAGTTGGTGTGGTTGTGGTTGTGGTAGTTGGTGTGGTTGTGGTTGTAGTAGTTGGTGTGGTTGTGGTTGTGGTAGTTGGTGTGGTTGTGGTTGTAGTAGTTGGTGTGGTTGTAGTAGTTGGTGTGGTTGTAGTAGTTGGTGTGGTTGTGGTAGTTGGTGTGGTTGTGGTTGTGGTAGTTGGTGTGGTTGTAGTAGTTGGTGTGGTTGTGGTAGTTGGTGTGGTTGTGGTTGTAGTAGTTGGTGTGGTTGTGGTTGTGGTAGTTGGTGTGGTTGTGGTAGTTGGTGTGGTTGTGGTAGTTGGTGTGGTTGTGGTTGTAGTAGTTGGTGTGGTTGTGGTAGTTGGTGTGGTTGTAGTAGTTGGTGTGGTTGTGGTAGTTGGTGTGGTTGTAGTAGTTGGTGTGGTTGTGGTTGTGGTAGTTGGTGTGGTTGTGGTAGTTGGTGTGGTTGTAGTAGTTGGTGTGGTTGTGGTTGTGGTAGTTGGTGTGGTTGTGGTAGTTGGTGTGGTTGTAGTAGTTGGTGTGGTTGTGGTTGTGGTAGTTGGTGTGGTTGTGGTAGTTGGTGTGGTTGTAGTAGTTGGTGTGGTTGTGGTAGTTGGTGTGGTTGTAGTAGTTGGTGTGGTTGTGGTAGTTGGTGTGGTTGTGGTAGTTGGTGTGGTTGTAGTAGTTGGTGTGGTTGTGGTAGTTGGTGTGGTTGTGGTAGTTGGTGTGGTTGTGGTAGTTGATAGGGTTGTTGTTGTGGTAGTTGGTGGGGTTGTTGTAGTAGTGGTAGTTGATAGGGTTGTTGTGGTGGTTGGTGGTGTTGTGGTAGTTGGCGGGGTTGTTGTAGTAGTGGTAGTTGATAGGGTTGTTGTGGTGGTTGGTGGTGTTGTGGTAGTTGGTGGGGTTGTTGTGGTAGTTGGTGGGGTTGTTGTGGTAGTTGGTGGGGTTGTTGTGGTAGTTGGTGGGGTTGTTGTGGTGGCTGGTGGGGTTGTTGTGGTGGCTGGTGGGGTTGTTGTGGTAGCTGGTGGGGTTGTTGTGGTAGCTGGTGGGGTTGTTGTGGTAGCTGGTGGGGTTGTTGTGGTGGCTGGTGGGGTTGTTGTGGTAGTTGGTGGGGTTGTTGTGGTGGCTGGTGGGGTTGTTGTGGTAGCTGGTGGGGTTGTTGTGGTGGCTGGTGGGGTTGTTGTGGTAGTTGGTGGGGTTGTTGTGGTAGTTGGTGGGGTTGTTGTGGTGGCTGGTGGGGTTGTTGTGGTAGCTGGTGGGGTTGTTGTGGTGGCTGGTGGGGTTGTTGTGGTGGCTGGTGGGGTTGTTGTGGTAGCTGGTGGGGTTGTTGTGGTGGCTGGTGGGGTTGTTGTGGTAGCTGGTGGGGTTGTTGTGGTGGCTGGTGGGGTTGTTGTGGTGGCTGGTGGGGTTGTTGTGGTAGTTGGTGGGGTTGTTGTGGTGGTGGTAGGGTTGTTGTGGTGGTGGTAGGGTTGTTGTGGTGGTGGTAGGGTTGTTGTGGTGGTGGTAGGGTTGTTGTGGTGGCTGGTGGGGTTGTTGTGGTAGTTGGTGGGGTTGTTGTGGTGGCTGGTGGGGGGGTTGTGGTGGCTGGTGGGGGGGTTGTGGTGGCTGGTGGGGTTGTTGTGGTAGTTGGTGGGGTTGTTGTGGTAGTTGGTGGGGTTGTTGTGGTGGCTGGTGGGGGGGTTGTGGTGGCTGGTGGGGTTGTGGTAGTTGGTGGGGTTGTTGTTGTGGCTGGTGGGGTTGTTGTGGTGGCTGGTGGGGTTGTTGTGGTAGCTAGTGGGGTTGTTGTGGTGGCTGGTGGGGTTGTTGTGGTGGCTGGTGGGGGGGTTGTGGTGGCTGGTGGGGTTGTTGTGGTAGTTGGTGGGGTTGTTGTGGTAGCTGCTGGGGTTGTTGTGGTAGTTGGTGGGGTTGTTGTGGTGGCTGGTGGGGTTGTTGTGGTAGTTGGTGGGGTTGTTGTGGTGGCTGGTGGGGGGGTTGTGGTGGCTGGTGGGGTTGTGGTAGTTGGTGGGGTTGTTGTGGTGGCTGGTGGGGTTGTTGTGGTGGCTGGTGGGGTTGTGGTAGCTGGTGGGGTTGTTGTGGTGGCTGGTGGGGTTGTTGTGGTAGTTGGTGGGGTTGTTGTGGTAGTTGGTGGGGTTGTTGTGGTAGTTGGTGGGGTTGTTGTGGTAGTTGGTGGGGTTGTTGTGGTAGTTGGTGGGGTTGTTGTGGTGGCTGGTGGGGTTGTTGTGGTGGCTGGTGGGGTTGTTGTGGTGGCTGGTGGGGTTGTGGTAGCTGGTGGGGTTGTGGTAGTTGATGGGGTTGTTGTGGTGGCTGGTGGGGTTGTAGTACTCATGACAATGGCCATCAATCTATCAAGGGAGTTCTCAATATGGGTGAGTTCCTCCTTGATGCCCTCCAGCACCGCCTGCGTCGGCTCTGTCCCGGAGAAAGAAAATGGGACGAGGAGAAATGTATAGGTAATTTTGTTTATGCATTTGTGATAAAAACAACCTGTCCTCAGGTGGGGTATGTACCCCTCGTCGTAATCACTTCAAAACCACTTCGTAATCCCCTATTATCTACTCCCTATCCATGGTTAGGTTAGGTTAAGATCTAGTTAAGTTTGGTTAAGTTATAATTGGTCACATTAGGTTAAAACTGTATTATTGTAAACGTATGACATGAAATTCAAAAACTGTTTGAGTATCCCCTGGAATTTGCCATTGAAGAAAACCTTGGCTATATAGAGGTTATCACAGAAAACGAGTACACAACAGGTAGTTTCTGTTTTAAACCATGGATTTATAATACAATTCAGTTCTAATTTGAGATTTTTCTTAGGTTACGACAACAACAGACATCAACATCAGACATTACCTCATCAACACCAGACCGTCCTCATCAACACCAGACCGTCCTCATCATCACCAGACCGTCCTCATCAACACACAGACCGCCCTCATCAACACCAGACCGTCCTCATCAACACCAGACCGTCCTCATCAACACCAGACCGTCCTCATCAACACCAGACCGTCCTCATCAACACCAGACCGTCCTCATCAACACACAGACCGCCCTCATCAACACCAGACCGTCCTCATCAACACCAGACCGTCCTCATCAACACCAGACCGCCCTCATCAACACCAGACCGTCCTCATCAACACCAGACCGTCCTCATCAACACACAGACCGCCCTCATCAACACCAGACCGTCCTCATCAACACCAGACCGTCCTCATCAACACCAGACCGTCCTCATCAACACCAGACCGCCCTCATCAACACACAGACCGCCCTCATCAACACCAGACCGCCCTCATCAACACCATACCGTCCTCATCAACACCAGACCGTCCTCATCAACACCAGACCGTCCTCATCAACACACAGACCGCCCTCATCAACACACAGACCGCCCTCATCAACCCCAGACCGTCCTCATCAACACCAGACCGTCCTCATCATCACCAGACCGTCCTCATCAACACCAGACCGTCCTCATCAACCCCAGACCGTCCTCATCATCACCAGACCGTCCTCATCAACCCCAGACCGTCCTCATCTACACCAGACCGCCCTCATCAACACCAGACCGTCCTCATCATCACCAGACCGTCCTCATCATCACCAGACCGTCCTCATCAACACCAGACCGTCCTCATCAACACCAGACCGTCCTCATCATCACCAGACCGTCCTCATCATCACCAGACCGTCCTCATCATCACCAGACCGTCCTCATCAACACCAGACCGTCCTCATCATCACCAGACCGTCCTCATCAACACCAGACCGTCCTCATCAACACCAGACCGTCCTCATCAACACCAGACCGTCCTCATCAACACCAGACCGTCCTCATCAACACCAGACCGTCCTCATCAACACCAGACCGCCCTCATCAACACCAGACCGTCCTCATCAACACCAGACCGTCCTCATCAACACCAGACCGTCCTCATCAACACCAGACCGTCCTCATCATCACCAGCCATTAACATGAGCCTCTATAATGGCATAACAGCTGCTGACACTGGTATAACCTACCTGTTTTAGCATGACTGACGCTGACGGCTGACAGCAAAACCACTGACATTACCGTCAGCAGCGGGCCTTCCCTCGCCTTCATTTGACGGAACACCATCTGACGGAACACCATCTGACGGAACACCATCTGACGGAACACCATCTGACGGAACACCAGCTGACGGAACACCAGCTGACGGAACACCAGCTGACGGAACACCTGCTGACGGAACACCAGCTGACGGAAGACCAGCTGACGGAACACTGTAAAAGTGTTTGGGTTAGTTTATTTAAATTATATATAGAATATGAGTCACAGACAGGGATTTGGAAAGGCGCCAAGTTGTCGGCCGGAGATCTCACACCTCTAAGCGTTAATGACCCCAAGTGACCTGAGGTCAGATCATGCGAATTTCACCTTGCTTCTACTAATCTCATAATTGGAGCCTGGTAGCCTTCAAACATGCCGACGTTTAAGGAGTGGCTTGGTAGAGTGCCGGAGGCTATCTACTTGTGGGCGGAGTTAGCTACTAGGTTCCCCAATATATACTCCGAGAACTATCGATTCGAGAGCATTAAGAGAAGAACGGCAGTCAGCAGAGCAGAGAAGACAGCCCTAGCAGGGAGGCTGTCGGCCGGCAGGGCGAGAGTCTCCGTCAACTACAGACCCCCCCCCCCCTCTCTATCCAGCTATAGGCACACACTTGGTGAGTTGAGCAGTAAGGTGACTTGGTCGTGTTTTACAAGTGTTGTGTGATGATCAGGGGCAGTCAGTTGTAGTGTTCTCAGATTCTTGGAGGATGACTCACTTTGAATATTAATCTTTAACATTTTAATTGGATTGCTTAAGTTATGATACTTATGAAAAATATAATTGTTGAATTTATTATTTAAATGGATTTTATTTTGTTCCCTAGAGATTTTGAGTTGAGGTGAGAAAGCCTCTGTGGTTACTGGTTTCTTGGTTTAGAATGAGTACATGATAAAGATGGGACCATACTAATAATGATCTCTTGATAACATCTTTGGTGAATATTGTGATACAGACAAGTTCCATTCCTTGTCTTGTATGTAATGATCATGAATGGATGGTGGCAGCATTTCGTCTTCTACTATCTACTCTTCTACTTCTATCTACTCTTCTACTTCTACCTATCTACACCTCTCCCTCCACCCCCTCTCTAAACTCTCACTTTCAACTAATGACCCTCCTCGCTCCTCCCACCTCCCTACCTCTCACCCCAAACCCTCACTAATTACTTCACTATTCATTTCTTTCCTCTCGTTTTCTCTTATACGTTTGTGGCAATGATTATGTATTCTAGAGTTCTCTCTGGAGTTTCGGGTAACTGATCCAGTTACGGCGCCTTGTAGTCTTAGCACCTAGGTAGTCGAATCCCAACCATGTTAAAGACAGTACCTCTCTCAACCAGTTTAAGTTAAAAACGAAGCTATACCTAATAAATTCCCTGTAACCTACCTTACCCCTCTATTGTCAACCCATGTATGTTTTTTGTTTTTTTTTGTTTTACAAATCAACGCTGTTTTAATGTAATTTTCTGTAATAATTTGTAATTGTATTTGTGCTGTTTTTTCAACAATGTTCCCCCCTCTTTTACCCCTATTTTTATTTGTACTCAACACATTTTTTTCTTTTTACCCATTAGTTTTAAGCTTTAGTCAGTAGTGTTTTTTCCTGCCCGAAACGCTTTGCGTAATAGTGGCTTTAGGCATTGTATGTACTAGCTCTTATCTTAAAGCCAACTAACTTTGTAAAATCTCTTTATGTATGTACCTTTGCCTAAATAAAAATTATTATTATTATTATTATTATTATGAATACCTAGGTTACAAGGTGTTGAACGAGAGAGGCTGCCTTAGGAACTCTGGGAGTGCTCTAGAATAGTTAGCTAACTGGGGACGGGATAACGGACTAGAGAGAGCTGTTTCCCCCGGCCTCGTTAGTTAACTGGGGGGTGGAATAATGGACAAGATAGAGCTATTTACCCCACCCCCGTTACACTACCTCAGCTTGAGGGAGACACACACACACACAATAGACTACCTCAGCTTGAGACACACACACAGTAGACTACCTCAGCTTGAGAGAGACACACACAGTAGACTACCTCAGCTTGAGAGAGACTCACACACAGTAGACTACCTCAGCTTGAGAGAGACACACACACAGTAGACTACCTCAGCTTGAGAGAGACACACACACAGTAGACTACGTCAGCTTGAGAGAGACACACACTGTAGACTACCTCAGCTTGAGAGAGACACACACACAGTAGACTACCTCAGCTTGAGAGAGAGACACACACACACACACACAGCAGACTACCTCAGCTTGAGAGAGGCACACACACAGTAGACTACCTCAGCTTGAGTGAGAGAGACACACACACAGTAGACTACCTCAGCTTGAGGAAGACACACACACAGTAGACTACCTCAGCTTGAGGAAGACACACACACAGTAGACTACCTCAGCTTGAGAGACACACACACACACACACACACACACACACACACACACAGCCCTCGTCCCCTCAACCCCCAAAACCCACCCAGCTCTCATCCCCTCAACCCCCAAATCCCATCCAGACCTCATCCCCTCAACCCCAAGAACCCACCCAGACCTCATCCCCTCAACACCCAAAGCCTGCCCTGCCCTCACCCCTCCTCATCCCCTCTCCTTCCATGTGACCCCCCACCCTTGCGAGGGAGGTGGGAGGTCCCCCCCACCCCCTCTATCCATCCCCCTCCCAACCTCTCAACCTCTATCTGTCTCCCAACCTTACGCCATCTCCCAACCCCTCTATGCCCTCCCTAATCTTCAGACCCAGTATGCCCTTCCTACTCCAGACCTACCTACCCAGGCCCTACCCCAGACCCTCCTACCTACCTTCCTAGAAGCCCAACCCCCAGTAGCCCCCCAAGCACCCCTCCTGAACTCTTTCACCCCCCATACACCCCCCGGACCCCCCCAGACACCCCTGGATCCCCCCGGACATCCCCCGGACCCTCCCCGCCCCCAGTCATCCCCCAGACACCCCCCAGATCCCCCAGATCCCCTCTGCCCCCAGTCACCCCCCAGACATCCCCCAGATCCCCCCAGACCCCCAGAGAAAGGGAGAACTCTGGTACAAGAGTTTCCATGAAGAATCTCAAGGTTTGGTACACCAATGCTGATGGGGTATCTAATAAAGCAGAAGAGATAAAAGAAAGAGTGAGTGAAGCAGATCCTGACATAGTTGCAATTGTGGAAACTAAAATTAATGACATGATCTCAGATGCAATCTTTCCTGAAGGGTACCAGGTGATACGAAAAGAGAGGACACAGAGACAGGGAGGGGAGTAGCACTCCTAATAAAGCGGAAATGGAAGTTTGAAGACCTGGGAAATCGAGTTACCAATGAGTGCACAAGCTTCATACATGGAACTCTGACAGTAGATGGGAGGAAGATTGTGATCATGGTAATCTACAATCCCCCACCAAACAGTAGAAGACCCAGGCAGGAGTATGATGACAACAACAAAGCATGTATAGATGAACTGCAGAAGGCAGCAACACTAGCCCACAGAATGAGAGCGAAGCTGCTGATCATGGGGGACCTAAATCATGGAGAGATAAATTGGGAATCAAGGAATCCCCATGGAGGGGATGAAACGTGGGGAGCAAAATTAGTAGATGTTATAGACAGGAATTTCCTGACACAACATGTGAAGGAAGACACAAGGGAAAGAGGAGGAGATGCACCGAGCCTATTAGACCTGATTTTCACCCAGAACGTAGAAGATATCGAGAATTTAGAGCATGAAATACCTCGAGGGGCCAGTGACCATTGTGTCCTAGTCTTTGACTACATGATGGAATTCAAAATTATGACCATGGGACAAGAGATCTGGGAAAGGAGAGCTGACTACAGGAAAGGGGACTATATGAGGATAAGGGACTATCTGGGTGAAGTGCAGTGGGAGGAAGAAATTAGAGGAAAAACAGTCCAAGATATGATGGACCTAGTCATACAGAAATGCCAGGAGGCCGAAGAGAGATTTATACCAACGGTAAAGGGAAAAAATAAGAAGGAATATAATAACCCATGGTTTAATAGACAGTGTCAGGAAGCAAAAATGGCCAGCAGGCGGGAGTGGAGGAAGTACAGAAGACAAAGAACAGAGGACAACAGAAGCAGATACAACAGAGCTAGGAACGATTACATTAACATAAGACGAACATCGGAAAGGGACTATGAGAACGATATTGCAATCAAAGCGAAAAAACAACCTAAGTTACTACACAGTCATATAAGAAGAAAAATGTCGGTGAACGACCAAGTGACAAGACTAAGGAAGACAGAGGGGGCATATACTGAAAGTGACAAGGAAATCTGCGAGGCACTGAATGCCAGTTTCCATGGAGTGTTCACTACCGAGCCTGAGCAGCTCCCATTGTTCGAAGGGGTTACCCTAGATGAAAGACTATCAGATATAGAGGTGACAGCAGAGGAGGTAATGAAACAGTTGACAACTCTAGATGCAACTAAAGCAGTTGGACCAGACAAAGTATCACCGTGGATACTAAAAGAAGCAGCACAGGCCCTCAGCGTGCCTCTGGCAATGATCTTTAATGAGTCACTTATGTCAGGAGAATTGCCCAGTTGCTGGAAGAAGGCAAATGTCGTGCCGATCTTCAAGAAAGGAGATAGGGAGGAGGCACTTAACTACAGACCTGTATCACTGACAAGCATCCCCTGTAAAATACTGGAAAGAATAATTAGGCTACGACTGGTTGCACACCTGGAGAACATTAGGTTTGTGAACAAACATCAACATGGGTTCTGGACAGGGAAATCGTGCCTAACAAACCTTCTGGAATTCTATGATAAAATAACGAGGATAAGACAGGACAGAGATGGTTGGGCAGACTGCATATTTCTGGACTGCCAAAAAGCCTTTGATACAGTACCGCACATGAGACTGCTGTTCAAGCTCGAGAGGCAGGCGGGGGTGGGGGGAAAGGTCCTAGAATGGATAAGGAACTACCTAACAGGAAGGAGCCAAAGAGTTACGGTAAGGGGCGAGAAGTCGGACTGGCGAACAGTAACAAGTGGAGTACCACAAGGATCGGTGCTGGGACCAATTCTATTTCTTGTATATGTTAACGACATGTTTACAGGCGTAGAGTCCTACATGTCGATGTTTGCGGATGATGCAAAGTTGATGAGAAGAGTTGTGACAGATGAGGATTGCAGGATCCTCCAAGAGGACCTGAACAGATTGCAGAGATGGTCAGAGAAATGGCTACTAGAATTCAACACGAGCAAATGTAAAGTTATGGAAATGGGACTAGGAGATAGGAGACCAAAGGGACAGTACACAATGAAGGGGAACAGCCTACCTGTAACGACGCGTGAAAGAGACCTGGGGGTGGACGTAACACCTAATCTATCTCCTGAGGCACATATTAATAGGATAACGACAGCAGCGTACTCTACACTGGCAAAAGTTAGAACATCATTCAGAAACCTAAGTAAGGAGGCATTTAGGGCGCTTTACACTGCCTACGTAAGGCCAGTCTTAGAGTATGCCGCCTCATCATGGAGTCCCCATCTGAAGAAGCATATAATGAAACTGGAAAAGGTTCAGAGGTTTGCAACGAGACTCGTCCCAGAGCTACGAGGGATGGGGTATGAAGAGCGCCTGAGGGAACTGTGCCTTACGACACTAGAAAGAAGAAGGGAGAGGGGGGACATGATAGGAACGTATAAGATACTCAGAGGAATTGACAGAGTGGACATAGACGAAATGTTCACACGGAATAGCAACAGAACGAGAGGACATGGATGGAAGCTTGAAACTCAGATGAGTCACAGAGATGTAAGGAAGTTTTCTTTTAGCGTGAGAGTAGTGGGGAAATGGAATGCACTTCAGGAACAGGTTGTGGAAGCAAATACTATTCATAATTTTAAAACCAGGTATGATAGGGAAATGGGACAGGAGTCATTGCTGTAAACAACCGATGCTCGAAAGGCGGGATCCAAGAGTCAATGCTCGATCCTGCAAGCACATATAGGTGAGTACACACACACACACACACACACACACAGTAGACTACCTCAGCTTGAGTGAGAGAGACACACACACAGTAGACTACCTCAGCTTGAGTGAGAGAGACACACACACAGTAGACTACCTCAGCTTGAGAGAGAGAGACACACACAGTAGACTACCTCAGCTTGAGGAAGACACACACACAGTAGACTACCTCAGCTTGAGAGAGACACACACACACACACAGTAGACTACCTCAGCTTGAGAGAGAGACACACACACACACAGTAGACTACCTCAGATTGAGGGAGACACACACACAGTAGACTACCTCAGCTTGAGAGAGAGAGAGAGACACACACACACACACACACACACACACACAGTAGACTACCTCAGCTTGAGACACACACACAGTAGACTACCTCAGCTTGAGAGAGAGAGAGACACACACAGTAGACTACCTCAGCTTGAGAGAGACACACACACACAGTAGACTACCTCAGCTTGAGGGAGAGAGACACACACAGTAGACTACCTCAGCTTGAGGGAGACACACACACACAGTAGACTACCTCAGCTTGAGAGAGAGAGAGACACACACAGTAGACTACCTCAGCTTGAGAGAGACACACACACACAGTAGACTACCTCAGCTTGAGGGAGAGAGACACACACAGTAGACTACCTCAGCTTGAGGGAGACACACACACAGTAGACTACCTCAGCTTGAGGGAGACACACACACAGTAGACTACCTCAGCTTGAGGGAGACACACACTCACCACAGTAGACTACCTCAGCTTGAGAGAGAGACACACACAGTAGACTACCTCAGCTTGAGAGAGACACACACACACAGTAGACTACCTCAGCTTGAGAGAGAGACACACACAGTAGACTACCTCAGCTTGAGGGAGACACACACACAGTAGACTACCTCAGCTTGAGAGAGACACACACACACAGTAGACTACCTCAGCTTGAGAGAGAGACACACACAGTAGACTGCCTCAGCTTGAGGGAGACACACACACAGTAGACTACCTCAGCTTGAGGGAGACACACACACAGTAGACTACCTCAGCTTGAGGGAGACACACACACAGTAGACTACCTCAGCTTGAGGGAGACACACACACAGTAGACTACCTCAGCTTGAGGGAGACACACACTCACCACAGTAGACTACCTCAGCTTGAGAGAGACACACACACAGTAGACTACCTCAGCTTGAGAGAGACACACACACAGTAGACTACCTCAGCTTGAGTGAGAGAGACACACACACAGTAGACTACCTCAGCTTGAGTGAGAGAGACACACACACAGTAGACTACCTCAGCTTGAGAGAGAGACACACACACAGTAGACTACCTCAGCTTGAGGAAGACACACACACAGTAGACTACCTCAGCTTGAGAGAGAGACACACACACACACAGTAGACTACCTCAGCTTGAGAGAGAGAGACACACACACACACAGTAGACTACCTCAGCTTGAGGGAGACACACACACAGTAGACTACCTCAGCTTGAGAGAGAGAGACACACACACACACACACACACACACACAGTAGACTACCTCAGCTTGAGACACACACACAGTAGACTACCTCAGCTTAAGGGAGAGACACACACACACACAGTAGACTACCTCAGCTTGAGAGAGAGAGACACACACACAGTAGACTACCTCAGCTTGAGAGAGACACACACACACAGTAGACTACCTCAGCTTGAGGGAGAGAGACACACACAGTAGACTACCTCAGCTTGAGGGAGACACACACACAGTAGACTACCTCAGCTTGAGGGAGACACACACACAGTAGACTACCTCAGCTTGAGGGAGACACACACTCACCACAGTAGACTACCTCAGCTTGAGAGAGAGACACACACAGTAGACTACCTCAGCTTGAGAGAGACACACACACACAGTAGACTACCTCAGCTTGAGAGAGAGACACACACAGTAGACTACCTCAGCTTGAGGGAGACACACACACAGTAGACTACCTCAGCTTGAGAGAGACACACACACACAGTAGACTACCTCAGCTTGAGAGAGAGACACACACAGTAGACTACCTCAGCTTGAGGGAGACACACACACAGTAGACTACCTCAGCTTGAGGGAGACACACACACAGTAGACTACCTCAGCTTGAGGGAGACACACACTCACCACAGTAGACTACCTCAGCTTGAGAGAGACACACACACAGTAGACTACCTCAGCTTGAGAGAGACACACACACACAGTAGACTACCTCAGCTTGAGAGAGAGACACACACAGTAGACTACCTCAGCTTGAGGGAGACACACACACAGTAGACTACCTCAGCTTGAGAGAGAGACACACACAGTAGACTACCTCAGCTTGAGAGAGACACACACCACAGTAGACTACCTCAGCTTGAGAGAGAGACACACACAGTAGACTACCTCAGCTTGAGAGAGACACACACACACAGTAGACTACCTCAGCTTGAGAGAGAGACACACACAGTAGACTACCTCAGCTTGAGGGAGACACACACACAGTAGACTACCTCAGCTTCAGGGAGACACACACACACACACAGTAGACTACCTCAGCTTGAGGGAGATACACACACACAGTAGACTACCTCAGCTGGAGGGAGACACACACACACAGTAGACTACCTCAGCTTGAGGGAGACACACACACACACAGTAGACTACCTCAGCGTGAGGGAGACACACACACAGTAGACTACCTCAGCTTGAGGGAGACACACACACACACAGTAAACTACCTCAGCTTGAGAGAGAGACACACACACAGTAGACTACCTCAGCTTGAGGGAGACACACACACACAGTAGACTACCTCAGCTTGAGGGAGACACACACACACACACACACAGTAAACTACCTCAGCTTGAGAGAGACACACACACACAGTAGACTACCTCAGCTTGAGGGAGACACACACACACAGTAGACTACCTCAGCTTGAGGGAGACACACACACAGTAAACTCCGCTTGAAAGAGACACACCACAGTAGACTACCTCAGCTTGAGGGAGACACACACAAACACAGTAGACTACCTCAGCTTGAGGGAGATACACACACACAGTAGACTACCTCAGCTTGAGGGAGACACACACACACACACACAGTAGACTACCTCAGCTTGAGGGAGACACACATACATACACAGTAGACTACCTCAGCTTGAGGGAGATACACACACACAGTAGACTACCTCAGCTGGAGGGAGACACACACACACAGTAGACTACCTCAGCTTGAGGGAGACACACACACAGTAGACTACCTCAGCTTGAGGGAGACACACACAGTAGACTACCTCAGCTTGAGAGAGAGACAGACACACAGTAGACTACCTCAGCTTGAGGGAGACACACACACACAGTAGACTACCTCAGCTTGAGGGAGACACACACACACACAGTAGACTACCTCAGCTTGAGAGAGAGACACACACACAGTAGACTACCTCAGCTTGAGGGAGACACACACACACACAATAGACTACCTCAGCTTGAGACACACAAACAGTAGACTACCTCAGCTTGAGAGAGACACACACAGTAGACTACCTCAGCTTGAGAGAGACACACACACAGTAGACTACCTCAGCTTGAGAGAGACACACACACTGTAGACTACCTCAGCTTGAGAGAGACACACACACAGTAGACTACCTCAGCTTGAGAGAGAGACACACACACAGTAGACTACCTCAGCTTGAAAGAGACACACACACAGTAGACTACCTCAGCTTGAGTGAGAGAGAGAGACACACACACAGTAGACTACCTCAGCTTGAGTGAGAGAGAGACACACACACAGTAGACTACCTCAGCTTGAGTGAGAGAGACACACACACAGTAGACTACCTCAGCTTGAGTGAGAGAGAGACACACACACAGTAGACTACCTCAGCTTGAGTGAGAGAGACACACACACAGTAGACTACCTCAGCTTGAGTGAGAGAGAGACACACACACAGTAGACTACCTCAGCTTGAGTGAGAGAGACACACACACAGTAGACCACCTCAGCTTGAGAGAGAGAGACACACACACAGTAGACTACCTCAGCTTGAGCTGTAGCACACACTAGTCGTCAGGTGATTGGTGACATGGTCGTAACTACCGGTACTGCGCAATTCACTCGTCATAGTGGATTAGGTAATCTAGTCCCTTAATCTAGGTTATCTAAGGGGAGGAGGTCACCTATTTCCTCCAACAGGATTTAGTTTTAAGCTCTTGGGCCCCGCCTAACTCACCGCCAGTTGGGTATTGTGAGGTCTTAGGGTATTTTGGTAGATTGATGAGGTCAATCAATGACCATTCCCAGTAACCTACGTCAGCTGTCTAATTCCCAGGTGAACAGAAGCATCAGGTGAGAACATCAGACATAGCGTCGAGGCTTGCTGTGGCCCCTCATATACCACACCGGACAGTAAGATACCACACTGGACAGTAAGATACCACACTGGACAAATGCTCCTCATCTTTATTAGCTTAAAACTTTAAGGAAAAATAAAGAACTTTGAATTTAATGTTTATTACAAATCTTCCAGTAACTTTCCTTACGTAATAAAGAAAGGAAAGTCAGAAACATATTTGTTAACATATAACTCTACTTGGCCATCTCACGGGATTACCTTGTTATTTCCCCAAGTTTTTTCCCAAGAGTTATTTCCCCAAGTTTTTTCCCAAGAGTTATTTCCCCAAGTTATTTTTCCCTACAGCTATTTCCTTAAATAGTTATTTCCTCAGTTATTGCCCAAAAAAGTTATTTCTCCCATCTGTTTTTCCAAAAATTTATTTCCCTCCAAGAGGAATTTGCCCCAAGTTTTATTTCCCTAGAGAGTTATTTTCCCAAGAGTTATTGCTAAAGGAGTTATTTCCCTTAAGGGTTATTTCCTTCAAGAGATATTTCCCCTAAGAGTTTTTTCCCAAAAGGTTTCTTCCCAAAGAGTTATTTCCCAAAGAACTATTTCCCAAGAATTATTTCCCCAAGAGTTAATTCCCCATCAGTTATTTCCCCAAATGTTATTTCCTTAAGAGTTTTTCAATAGTTATTTCCACAAAGAGTTATTTCCCCAAGAGTTATTCCTTCAAGAGTTATTCCTTCAAGAGTTATTTCCCCAAGAGTTATTCCTTCAAGAGTTATTTCCCCTAAGAATTATGTTCTCAAAGAATTAGTTCGTCAAAAGTCATTTACTGAAGAGGTTTTTTTCCTCTGGGAATTATTTAGTAAATTAGTTATTTCCTCTTGGAGTTTTTCCCTCTGGGAAATATTTGTATATTTTAACTCTTGGTAATGAATTATTTCCCAGCTGTGTATAATATCCCAAGCTGGAAACAACTGCCTTGTTTCAAGGTAGATCTCTACGTGACAACCCCCCCCCCACTCCACGAATGGTTAAATCGAAGCATTTCGATTTAGCCAATCTGGTTAATTTCGAAGGATTATGATTAATGACTTATATAGTACGTTAATTATGGTTCTAATCGAAGCAAGGAACCGGTTCGGACTCTGTTGATATGGTGACCATGTCGTTCTAGAGAGTAACGGTCGTCGATATCTGTGGCTGGTGACGACCACCTCTGACGATTGTGGTCTTTCTTGGGAGCTGCTGAAGACAGATGGTTGTCGCTAACAGCCCCCGGAGCGCTGAAGGGCCTTGTGTCCATTGTGTCCATCCAACAGCCGGAGTCTCGACTACCCTTGGGGTTGACACAGAGTCTGTGGTGCCGGGGGAGGCTGCCGGTGTCACAATATGACCTGCGTCTGTTGTCGTACGCGTCGACGGTACTGCGCACTCTGGGGATAGCTCCGATGGCGGGTGTGGTGGCGGTGAAGGCTGGGTTGTCGTGGCCCGCCTCCAGAAAGCTCCTGACGGGGATGTTCTCTCCACACGGCTCCTGCAGGGGGGACATGGCAACCTTCAGGTCAATATTCTTAGCAAAAGTACAAGCTTAACCCTTAAAGGGTGCAATACATCTATAGTTAGGGTGAGTAACTATTGCGGGACGGCGCACCACAGCTAGGTATGGTTCGAAGGACCAAGTAACCTGTTTCCCCACATTAGTTCATCTCAAGCCGAACCTCATCTTGAGGTTATCTTGAGATGATTTCGGGGCTTAGCGTCCCCATGGCCCGGTCCTTGACCAGGCCTCCTTTTTGTTACATCCCCCAGGAAGCAGCTGTCTTACTCCCAGGTACCTATTTACTGGTAGGTAAGAGAGGCATCAGGGTGAAAGAAACATTTTGCCCATTTGTCTTCGCCTCCACCGGGGATCGAACCCGGAACCCCAGGACTACGAATCCGAAGCCCTGTCCACTCAGCTGCCAGACGCCCTCTCACACTACATGGTACTTATATAGTGTCTCTTTCATGGCATTTTTCAGTGCCATGAGCTCGTTATGACGATTATGGATAAATTCGAATTGAATGCTAAGTAACTATCATGTAGGGAAGAGGATGAGCTTGCATGCAACTGTGTGATAGACAGGAGTCAGTCTAGAAATGATCGCTGCTGGAGTGATGTTGTTGACCTAGCAGTAAATATGTACCCAAGAGCTAGGCAGCTGTTGTAGGATGCATCCTGCAGAGGCCTTTTCACCTGGATAAGACCCATAGTCTTCCTGTCCCCCCGACAACAGAAAAGCTTATTAATAATGCTGGCTGTGCACCTGTGTATCATTTTATTCCATAACATTTTAACGTATACAAGTTGAGGATAAAGTTGAGGATAAGTAAGCATCAAATGACGCCACCGAGACGACTGTGTAGTGCCATTAAGCTTAGTGTCACTGTAGTGCCATTAAGCTCAGTGTCACTGTGGTGCCATTAAGCTCAGTGTCACTGTAGTGCCATAAAGCTCAGTGTCACTGTAGTGCCATAAGCTCAGTGTCACTGTAGTGCCATTAAGCTTGGTGTCACTGTAGTGCCATTAAACTTAGTGTCACTGTAGTGCCATTAAACTTAGTGTCACTGTAGTGCCATTAAACTTAGTGTCACTGTAGTGCCATAAGCTTAGTGTCACTGTAGTGCCATTAAGCTTAGTGTCACTGTAGTGCCACAAAGCTCAGTGTCACTATATTTTATGATTCGTGATTAATCTATACTTGTTCAGACTACACACTCTTGGTCTAAACCACAACAACTGTTTATAAACACCTGCAAGAATGTACACTTTCTCAACGTATATTCGCAAAAAACAAGTGGCCAAAACATCAGAAATAGAAAAATACTTACGGTCCATTTAAAACGTAACAATACTTTAGTCAAATGTTTTTTTTCTCACATAGATGTGTTCCCTTATAAGAGAGAGAGAGTAGTAGTTACTTCTTCCTTACCCGAGTGAACTTCTCCTGCCTCATTCTGTGTCTTTTCTTGTGGAAGACATAAGCAGCCACCAAGGTGAGCGCGAGCACCATCGTGGCGCCCACCCCTCCGATCACCGCTGCCAGCGTCACGTCCATTTTCTTCACCCCTGCCAGCGATCGCTTCACCACCCGCTCTGCTCTATCTACAGTCTGTCAAGGTAAGCCTATCATCATTTGATTGATTGATGAAGATTAAGCGATGAGGTGGCACGGGTATGAATAGCCCGTAAGTAGTAGGCCCTCCCCTGCAAACACAAATCATCTAGGAAACGTTCGTCTATCTCTTCCCATAGGTGTGGGAATGATTTGCATTGAGAATGGTGCAGGAGAGCCTTTGAGAAACTTTTAATAAAAAAATCCAAACACAAAGGTTTTATAATAAATTGTTTTTCTACAACTATTTTGTTCCTAATGTATTACAAATAGTTTTTACATGTTTAAATAAAAAATTTATGGTGTTTTTTTTGTAAAATTCATTAATAAATTGTGAATGATATTTATTGGCTCAGTGAAACGTTCAAAATCCATTAGTTATAATATCATCACCAACCTTTCCTCATTATACAGAGTCGCATATTAACGTAAACTCTTAGGGGCAAAAACTGTCGTACTAGAAAATGGTAGCAACTCACAAAATTGACATACTGTCCCGTTTTCTGTTTTGGGTCCTTTCGCTAGGTACGACACTTTAGCACTTTATAAGAGCACTTTAGTACGACAGTTTCTTGACGTTGGTAAACCTTACGAGGACGAGCTGCATCATGACATATGAAGATGCAGTAGCCACAGGGATAATAGACAGACTAAGACACTCGCCTGGCGTTCCGCGAGCGCTATGTCATGGGTTCGTATCCTGGCCGGGAAGGATTTACTGGGCGCAAATCCTTAACTGTAGCCTCTGTTTAACGCAACAGTAAAATGTGTACTTGGTTGTAACAACGATTCTTCGCGGCGGGGATCGTATTCCAGGGACCTGCCCGAAACGCTACGCGTACTAGTGGCTCTACAAGAATGTAACAACTCTTCTATATATCTCAAAAAAAAAAAAAGAGCAAGGATGCAAGGATACACTAAGAACTGGGATACCAGGACAGACAAAGAACTTTGACACAAGGACAATAGCATGTCCAAGAACAGTAAAAACGTTCCGTCTTCATTCCTATTCTCATGTTATGGTGAAAATTACACATTACAGCTTCTTATCTTCCTGGCAGACGATACTAAACTCAACAAAAATATTGCCTCGATGGAAGGCAGTGAAAAGCTACAAACAGATATCCACCGACACAAATAATTCATTGTGGTGGGGGACAGGCAGCCAGTGTATATATATACCAGTTAGGTATATATCGAGGTCCCCCCCTACCCAACCACTTGGGCTGAACGGTAGAGCGACGGTCTCGCTACATGCAGGTCGGCGTTCAATCCCCGACTGTCCAAGTGGTTGGGCACCATTCCTTCCCTCCGTCCTATCCTAAAATCCCCCCCCCCCCCACCTTTCAGAGTCGACTAACCAACCCTCCCCAGGATGCAACCCTACAACAAACTGACTAACTCCTGGCTACCTATTGGCTGCTAGGTGAAGTTTCCTATCACCTACTGGCTGCATTAGGTGACAGTGCAACCAATCCTTTCTGCCCCGTCTGGGATTCGAACCCGAAAATCCCGATATTGAGTAGAAAAAGAACCCGACTGTACCACCAAGACTTGGTTGTGTCAAGACGCTAAAATGAAAAGCAGGACGGAACGGAGAATTACGGAGATCAAAGAACAGAAGGAAAACCGGAATAGATGGAACGGTGCTGGGAACACCTCCGGAGGGTGAGAGGCCTCGACCCAACTTTCTGTTCATCCCGCCATGATTGAGTTGAAAATGTGGTGTTCAATTTTCTATGTTTTAGGAGCCCTATGATGCAAGGCCGGAGCTCACAGATGCTGACATTAGTATCTTTATCCTAAAATATCTTTCAGTGTTTATTAATAAAACCCTGACATATATAAGGGATACTTTCTACAATTTGAAGAAAGACGTACAATACGCTGTGAGGAACACATCGGTATTTTCACTCCTCAAAAAATTCCTAGAATTCATTATAGCATCAAAATTGTAATTGATGAATAATAAAAAAGAAAGTTAACAAAACACAAAAATAACAAAATTAAAGCTATTGCTATACATGAAAAATAATACCATTTAAGCCAAATAACAACGAAGGAAAAAATATGTTCACAGAAAGTGAAAAAAAGTTCTTCGAGAACAAAGTTTTAAGTGACGGTCCTCACCTTCTCCAGATCTTGCACGCCGGAGGCGAGGGCGTTCTTGTTGAATCCTTTGACTAAGCTTGGGTCGTCCTCCACCTCCTTGACCACCCCCTCCAGTTCCTCCGAGTGTTGCTCCAGGTCCTTCAGCTGGTTCTTTGACACCTGGCCCTTGGCGATCTCGTGCGTCGTTGTCTCAATGCTTTTCATGACGCCTGTAAGGCGTTTGCAGAGATCCTTCTCATCTTGGGGATCATTCATGGCACACATATCTTCCGTCAGGCCTTCCGTCAGGCCTTCCGTCAGGCCTGACGGAAGGTCTGTGAAAGGCGCTATTCTCTTTGTCCGGTTCGACGCCCCAGACCTGAATGGACGAACCCACTTTTGATTAGTCTCCAGCAGCAGATTTTCAGATTCTATTTCCATTTCTTTCTTGGGTAACTTCGATGTCTTGTATCCAGTAGATTCTTGTGGTGCTGCGTCGCCGGGAAAAGATTGCGGGTCTTCCTTCGGGGACTTCCATGTTTTGTTTACATCAGATTTTAGTAGCGACGAGTCGCCCGTGAAAGACTTTTCCGGGATAACTTTCCCTGCTTCTTCACCTGGTCTTCTGACAACTCTCTCACGAAGCTTCGTTGTTCCTTCTGCCTCCATCTGAGGCCAATGCCGTTCTGGCGTCTTCAGCGCCATTTCTCTAGTATAATCTCCTTCTCCAAGAGGCGTTCTTGACCTCTTAACGCGCCTTACCTTCCTGACAATCGGCGTCAAGTCTGTCGTAGGTGTGACTTCAGAGGGTGAGGGTGAGTTCGACAAGTTCGTGCTTCCGTTGTTCGTTAATTGTGAAGTGGACGATTCTGTTTCGATATCTTCAGGAAAATATAAGCTGAAATCGTCAGAGTCGTAAGAATATTCATCCGAATTCATTTCTGTGCTCTGTGATTTGAACATTTTAAGCAGTTCAGATAAATTCTTCTCATTATCGATGAGTGTGTCGGTGAAAGTATCAGTGGATATATCAGTGGGTATGTCAGTGGATATATGAGTGGGTATGTCAGTGGATATATCAGTGGGTATGTCAGTGGATATGTCAGGGGATATTTCAGTGGGTATGTCAGTGGGTATGTCAGTGGATATATCAGTGGGTATGTCAGTGGATATGTCAGGGGATATTTCAGTGAGTATGTTAGTGGATATTTTAGTGGGTATGTCAGTGGGTATGTCAGTGGATATTTCAGTGGGTATATCAGTGGGTATGTCAGTGGATATATCAGTGGGTATGTCAGTGGATATATCAGTGGGTATGTCAGTGGATATGTCAGGGGACATTCCAGTGGGTATGTCAGTGGATATGTCAGGGGATATTTCAGTGGGTATGTCAGTGGGTATGTCAGTGGATATATCAGTGGGTATGTCAGTGGATATATCAGTGGGTATGTCAGTGGATATGTCAGGGGACATTTCAGTGGGTATGTCAGTGGATATATCAGTGGGTATGTCAGTGGATATATCAGTAGGTATGTCAGTGGATATATCAGTGGGTATGTCAGTGGATATATCAGTAGGTATGTCAGTGGATATATCAGTGGGTATGTCAGTGGATATATCAGTGGGTATGTCAGTGGATATGACAGTGGGTATGTCAGGGGATGTTTCAGTGGGTATGTCAGTGGATATATCAGTGGGTATGTCAGTGGATATGACAGTGGGTATGTCAGTGGATATATCAGTGGGTATGTCAGTGGATATGTCAGGGGACATTTCAGTGGGTATGTCAGTGGATATATCAGTGGATATATCAGTGGATATTTTAGTGGGTATGTTAGTGGGTATGTCAGTGTGTATGTCAGTGGATATATCAGTGGGTATGTCAGTGGATATATCAGTGGGTATGTCAGTGGATATGACAGTGGGTATGTCAGGGGATATTTCAGTGGGTATGTCAGTGGATATATCAGTGGGTATGTCAGTGGATATGACAGTGGGTATGTCAGTGGATATGACAGTGGGTATGTCAGGGGATATTTCAGTGGGTATGTCAGTGAGTATGTCAGTGGGTATGTCAGTGGGTATGTCAGTGGGTATGTCAGTGGATATATCAGTGGATATTTTAGTGGGTATGTCAGTGGATATATCAGTGGGTATGTCAATGGATATATCAGTGGGTATGTCAGTGGGTATGTCAGTGGATATATCAGTGGGTATATCAGTGGATATGTCAGTGGATATTTTTGTGGGTATGTCAGTGGGTATTTTAGTGGGTATGTCAATGGGTATTTTAGTGGGTATGTCAGTGGGTATTTTAGTGGGTATGTCAGTGGGTATGTCAGTGGGTATTTTAGTGGGTATTTTAGTGGGTATGTCAGTGGATATTTTAGTGGGTATGTCAGTGGGTATGTCAGTGGATATTTTAGTGGGTATGTTAGTGGGTATTTTAGTGGGTATGTCAGTGGGTATGTCAGTGGGTATGTTAGTGGATATTTTAGTGGGTATGTCAGTGGGTATGTTAGTGGATATTTTAGTGGGTATGTTAGTGGATATTTTAGTGGGTATGTCAGTGGGTATGTCAGTGGATATTTTAGTGGGTATGTCAGTGGGTATGTTAGTGGATATTTTAGTGGGTATGTCAGTGGGTATGTTAGTGGATATTTTAGTGGGTATGTCAGTGGGTATGTCAGTGGATATAAGGATGGATATGTCATTGGGTGTGTTGTGAAAAATATTAGTGGGTGTATAAGTTGTATTATCAGTGAGCATGTCAGTGGGGGTGTCAGTGGGCGTGTCAGTGGGGGTGTAGGGGGGTAGACTAGCAGGCGGGTACGTGGTTTGGGGGTTAACCACACCCATTAGTCGCTCCAAGAAGTTCTCAATGTTATTTAGTTCCTTCTTGATTTTCTCCAGGAGCTCCTCTTCCGTCATGCCCAGTTCTGTGAGGGTGAGAAGAAGAACACGCATGAACACAGGCAGAACATGAGGTGAAGAACACGCACGAACACAGGCAGAACATGAGGTGAAGAACACGCATGAACACAGACAGAACACGGGGTGAAGAACACGCATGAACACATTCAGAACATGAGGTGAAGAACACGCATGAACACAGGCAGAACACGGGGTGAAGAACACGCATGAACACATTCAGAACATGAGGTGAAGAACACGCATGAACACAGGCAGAACACGGGGTGAAGAACACGCATGAACACAGGCAGAACATGAGGTGAAGAACACGCACGAACACAGGCAGAACATGAGGTGAAGAACACGCATGAACACAGGCAGAACATGAGGTGAAGAACACGCATGAACACAGGCAGAACACGGGGTGAAGAACACAAGATGAACACGCAGAGCCTTCACCCTCACTACAATAGGAGTACGACAACTGCGCCAGGAGGGAGGAAGCTTGTAGCCTGGCAGCGGTGTGGTGAACAACAACAACTCGGCCCCAACAGCTGCTACAGATGCTCCATACTCACCTAGTGTGTCCTCTGGTGGCTCAGCTGGCCGGTAAGAGCCTCTAGTGTCCATTAACGGTGTACAGTGTTTTTAGTATAACACGTAATCTTGGTTATTAGCTAAAGAAAGTAAAGAATCTTGACTTATACGGCTCGTGTGGATACTAGTTTCTGTCATCCAAGTGTCTTAAGACCACACCACCACTCCCCCCCCTCATAAACCACCCGCCACACACACACACACTCTCACACTCTCATACACACATACTCACACACTATCTCCCTCACCCATTTCTCTGTCTGTCTGTCTGTCTGTCTGTCTGTCTGTCTGTCTGTCTGTCTGTCTGTGTGTCTCTCTCTCTCTCTCTCTCTCTCTCTCTCTCTCTCTCTCTCTCTCTCTCTCTCTCTCTCTCTCTCTCTCTCTCTCTCTCTCTCTCTCTCTCTCTCTCTCTCTCTCTCTCTCTCTCTCCCTCCCTCACTCACCCCCTTCCACCGTCCTCCCTTCCTTCGTTCCTTCTTCCCCTCTCTCCCACCTCCCCCCTCCCCCCACACAACCACTGGGAGCCGGTGGCCGAGCGGACAGCACGATGTACAAGTGATCCTGTGGTCCCGGGTTTGATCCCGGGCGCTGACGAGAAACGATGGGCAGAGTTTCTTTCATCTTATGCACCTGTTACCTAGCAGTAAATAGGTACCTGGGAGTTAGTCAGCTGTCACTGGCTGCTTCCAGGGGTGTGTGTGTGTGTGGGTGGTGTGGGGGGAAAAATAGTAGTAGTAGAAACAGTTGATTGACAGTTGAGAGGCGGGCCAAAGAGCAGAGCTCAACCCGCGCAGGCACAACTAGGTGAATACACAAAGAAATCTGGGGTGTCTGGTAGTTGAGTGGACAGCGTGCAGGACTCGTAATTCTGTGGGCCGGGTTCGATTCCATGACCAGGCAGAAACAAATGGGCAAAGTTTCTTTCACCCTGATGCTCCTGTTGCCTAGCAGTAAATAGGTACCTGGAAGATAGACAGCTGTAACGGAGCGGCTTCCTGGGGGTGTGTGTGTGTATGTGGGGAAAAAAATTGTTAGTAGTTAGTAACAGTTGTTTGACAGTTGAGAGGCGGGCCGAAAGAGCAGAGCTCAACCCCCGCAAGCACAACTAGGTGAATACACACACATGTTAGGTGAGAAGGTGGTGGAGGCCAAGACCGTCAGTAATTTCAAAGTGTTATATGACAAAGAGTGCTGGGAAGACGGGACACCACGAGCGTAGCTCTCATCCTGTAACTACACTTAGGTAATTACACACACACACACACACACACACACACACACACACACACAGGTCTAGCAGGTAAGAAAACAGACCAAAGTTGGTGGAGAGGAACAGGAAGACCCATACATGGAATTTATTGCTCAGGTATGGAGGGGAAATCAGGGAGGAAATGAAGGAAACTATAAGTAAACTGCAGATGGAATTGAGTGCAGCATAAGAGGAGATAAAAAATTACAAACAATCCCTCTTCAGACTCTGCCCCAGGGGACCAACCCCCAGATACCAGGAGATGTAGCAATGGCAGGGACCCCTACAATTGGCCCAACCTTTACAGGGGACCAACCCCCAGATACCAGGAGATGTAGCAATGGCAGGGACCCCTACAATTGGCCCAACCTTTACAGGGGACCAACCCCCAGATACCAGGAGATGTAGCAATGGCAGGGACCCCTACAATTGGCCCAACCTTTACAGGGGACCAACCCCCAGATACCAGGAGATGTAGCAATGGCAGGGACCCCTACAATTGGCCCAACCTTTGCTGAAATACTGAAGAGCCCAGGAGCAATGTCCACAGTCAAGGAAGTTGTAATGAAAGCAGTAACCTCACAGAAGGCAGCTGGATGCTCAAGCCAGCTAATGGAAAGGAAAAGAGCTGTAGTAGTGGTAGGTGTTAAGGAACAAGAGGGCTCCACAAGGGAAGAATGGAAGACTAAAGACAAAGCTGCAGTGGCAGGGATATTAAAGGAGATAGGAATGGAAGGGGCTGAACGAGACATAGAACAGTTTTTCCGGATTGGCCAGTACAACAAAGACAAACAGAGATTGATCAAGGTAGTATTCAGGAACGAGGGCACCAAAGAGGACATCCTAGTAAAGAAGAACAAACTGAAAAATGCAAGGAATTACAGAGAGGTATACCTTCAGTAGGACATGACCAGAGACGAGATAATAAGGGCAGCAGATGCAAGGAAAAGGCGCAGGGAGAGGGAAGGGAGCCAGGGATCAGGCTCCTTCCCAGCACTCCCAGAGGGGAGTGGGGGAACCCCAACCCAGCAATTCAGGAACCCCAGAAGGGAATGCAACACCCCATAGGGCCCCCCCTCTACCCCCAGCTCATATTCCTCCTTGCCCCTACACAATGCCCACCATATTACCCAAATCCTCCCTCCCCCCCTCTTACCCCAAGTATCCCCTACCTTCCCATCCCCTGGTCTTCTTCCTGCCCCAGGCAGGCCCAGGAGAGACCTAGGCCCTGCATCCCCCACCCCACCTCCCCCCCAAACCCCTGTTAACTACACCACAGGAGGGCATGCCCTCACCCCGAGCAACCCCTGCCCCCCAACCCCAAGCACTCCTCCCCCCACCCCCCCCCCCCAACCTCAGGACTTCCTTCTGTCCCAAGCAGGCCTGGGCAAGACTTAAGCCCTTTATTCCCCACCCCACCTCCCCCTGAACCCCTGGCAACTTCCCTACAAGAGAAGGAGCCTACCCACGTAGAAATGACCACGGAACAACTTCCTACACTTGTTGGGAGTGAGGGTGAAAAAGGGTATAGGAAAGTGAGCTTCAAGGTAATGTACTCAAACATTGATGGGATTACCAATAAAGCAAGTGAACTGGCAGAAAGGGCGCAAGAAGAAAACCCTGATGTAATAGGACTAACGGAAACAAAATTGTCAGGAGTCATAACAGATGCTGTGTTTCCAAAGGACTACTATATAGTAAGGAAAGAGAGGGAAGGGAGAGGAGGTGGAGGAGCGGCCCTGCTGATAAGGAAGGACTGGAGCTTTGATGAGATGGAAATTCCGGACTATGACGGATTCAGAGATTACATAACAGGAACTATAACAATGGACCTAAGATAATAGTGACAGTCATTTACAACCCTCCCCTAAATGACAGAAGACCTAGACAGGAGTTTGATAGGAACAACATGGCAACCACTAATATAATAGAGAGAGCAGCTTCAGTTGCCTGCAGGAATGGCTCAAGACCCTTAATCATGGGTGATTTACAATACAAATACAAACAAAACAAATACAAATATTTATTCAGGTAAAGTACATACATACATACAAGGTGAGATACAAACATTGATGGATTTAAAGATAGAGCTAGTACATACAATGCCTAAAGCCACTATTACGCTAAGCGTTTCGGGCAGGAAAAACACTAAAATTAAAACTTAATACTAATTGAGATTAAAGTATAAATTGTGTTGAGAAAAAAATGAAAAAAGGGGGAAACATGGCAGAAAAAAAGCAAAAATACAATTTGGTCAACAAACAGCATTGTTTAAAATCGTAGACATGGGTTGACAATATAGGGGTGAGGTAGGTTACAGGGCGTTAATTAGGTAGTGTTTAGTTTTTATCTTAAACTGGTTAAGAGAGAGGTACAATCTTTAACATGATTGGGAAGGTCATTCCACATTCTGGGTCCCTTGATTTGTAAAGCATTTCTAGTTTGACTAAGTCTTACTCTTGGAATATCAAATAGGTATTTGTTTCTGGTGTGGTGCTCATGGGTTCTGTTACAACCTTCTACGAAGCTTTTGAGGTCAGGATTGGCATTACAGTTTAGCGTTTTTTATATGTATAATACACATGAGAGAATGTGCAGTGACTTAATGTCTAACATATTCAGAGATTTGAGTAGGGGTACCGAGTGATGTCTGGGGCCAGAGTTGGATATTGTCCTAATAGCAGCTTTGTGTTGAGTAATTAGAGGACGTAAGTGATTTTGTGTAGTAGAACCCCAAGCACAAATACCATAGTTGAGATAAGGATAGATAAGGGAGTAATAGAGAGTCACCAGGGCAGGGCGAGGTACATAATATCTGATCTTGGAAAGAATGCCAACAGTTTTTGAAACTTTTTTTTATATATTTAGAATGTGTCCCTGGAAATTCAGCTTGTGGTCAATGAGAACGCCAAGGAATTTGCCATCTAATTTGTTACAAATTTGGGTATTGTTAATCCTGAGATTTATTTGATTTGAGGATTTATTGCCAAACAGAATATATATAACAGAATATAATTGCCAAACAGAAAGTTTTGTCAATATTGTGGGTGAGTTTGTTGGCAGTTAGCCAGTGATGGACTTTATTTAGCTCAGTATTCACTATGACATTTAGAGTAAGGGGGTCAGGACTGGAGTAAATGAAGGTTGTGTCGTCAGCAAACAGAGCTGGTTTGAGATGTTGGGAGGCATTTGGGAGGTCATTAATGTAGATGAGAAAGAGGAGAGGGCCAAGTATGCTGCCAAGTATTTCAACCATGGAAAGATAGACTGGGAGAATGGGGACCCACATGGAGAGCTAAACTCTTGGAAGTGGCAACAAGAAACTTTCTGAGCCAGCATGTCAGGGAACCCACAAGAATGAGAGGCAATGACGAACCAGCTAGACTCAACCTGATATTCACCCTGAATTACCCTCTTGTGTGTAAAACTAGTAGGGTAAGGCTTACCATGAGCTATGGAAAGGGAAAGCTCTCAGCCAGCTAACAGAATACTCTTAAAATACTCCTGAGCACATCATGGTTGGGTCTGTTGCGTGCGTGTGTGTGTGGACGTCCAGGAATGTGAGTTCCATCACACACAATTGCCTCAATACTTCCTCACAATCACTGTTACAATCACGTCAAGAACATATCACAATCACAGAGCTTAACACTTTGGTGTTACACCAGACTTGGAGAAAATTGGTGATAATGTTCTTGTGTTATCAGATAATAAAGGTATGGATAGCCCCCTGGACCCACCCTGTGCGTCACCCCAGCCATCACAGGTCAGTGGGTCCATATACCTGTCGTCTGGGGGTGGTCCTAACCTTAACAAGACTAACCTAACCAAAACTCGATTAACTGTATCCAATTTAACCTGTCCTCGCCTAACTGAACCTAACCTAATCTAAGATTAGCCAAGCTTACCTGTAGGCCAGGAAGTAGCCTCTTGGGCTGTGAGGGTGTCGACGCCGCTCAGGAATGCCACAAGGAACAAGACGAGTGGAAACACCTTCGCCATAACTCTGTGCCACTTGCCAACCATCATAGTCGGACCTCACGATCGCACACTTTCCTAAAATATTAATAATTGTAGTGTATATGTAGATATTTATAGGGGAGGGGCTACAGGAGAATGTTAACAGGACAATATATACGGTTTGGCCAACATGATATCAGATAGTGTCATGGGGGGATCGAACCTGCGTCATCTGTGCTCCCGGACACACAACGATTTCCTCATAGCTGCTCCCCCAGAGAGCATAGCTGTGACGGGCTTGTCTCTGAAGCTAGACACAGATATGGTGAAATAATCAATGATGGAGTCAGAGTTTCTCCTGTGGATTCCTTCCCATATTGGTCTCCGAATGCATGATAGAACTGATGAGTTGGCCAAGACTTTTGCTCGTAAGAGGGAATTGTTACCATCTTAAACTGTCTTTGAGCAGCCTGAGGGCAGCAATATTCCGGGAACATCAACAAAATCTCGTAGACTTGAGGCAAAGTGAAATTCCCACCAGTTACTCCATCTATCATCATTCTATTATTCAGGAAGAACCGCACGTCTCTGGGTCATCCAATAATGTTAGCAGACTTCTAGATGTTACCACTGCTAGGCTTAGGCTCGGCTACAAGTACCTCTGGGAGTTTGTAACATCTGCTGATGTAGATCTGACTAAATGTTAACTCAGTCAGCAGAACTATTCGCATACTTTGCCTCATTATATAATGGAATGTGAAAAAATTGCGGAATTCAGATATAACACCATCAATGGTGTCCAAGAAATGTGTAAGTACTTCATTCGTAATGATATACTGCCAGGAATCTTAGCCAAGTATCCTAAATTTGCTTAATGTAGGTAATGCATGCAGATGACTGTAAAGCTGCCGCCCAGTTGGGTGGGTGTGGAGCACATGACTGTAAAGCTGCCGCCCAGTTGGGTGGGTGTGGAGCACATGACTGTAAAGCTGCCGCCCAGTTGGGTGGGTGTGGAGCACATGACTGTAAAGCTGCCGCCCAGTTGGGTGGGTGTGGAGCACATGACTGTAAAGCTGCCGCCCAGTTGGGTGGGTGTGGAGCACATGACTGTAAAGCTGCCACCCAGTTGGGTGGGTGTGGAGCACATGACTGTAAAGCTGCCGCCCAGTTGGGTGGGTGTGGAGCACATGACTGTAAAGCTGCCGCCCAGTTGGGTGGGTGTGGAGCACATGACTGTAAAGCTGCCGCCCAGTTGGGTGGGTGTGGAGCACATGACTGTAAAGCTGCCACCCAGTTGGGTGGGTGTGGAGCACATGACTGTAAAGCTGCCGCCCAGTTGGGTGGGTGTGGAGCACATGACTGTAAAGCTGCCGCCCAGTTGGGTGGGTGTGGAGCACATGACTGTAAAGCTGCCGCCCAGTTGGGTGGGTGTGGAGCACATGACTGTAAAGCTGCCGCCCAGTTGGGTGGGTGTGCAGCAAGACTAGTAACTGTGTGGCTATACATATGTATATGTATTTGTGTATATGATCAAGAGAAAGGGGTCAGGATAAGGATTTGGGATGGGACGGGGGAAAGGAATGGTGCCCAACCACTTGTGGACGGTCGGGGATTGAACGCGGACCTGCATGACGCGAGACCATCGCTTGAAGGCGGGATACACGTGAGGCTGAGAAAGAAGGATCAATATTGTGGAATAAAAGAAAGATGTAGAAGTTTCGCAGGAGGGGAAGTTGATGAGTCCATTCCCCAAGTGCTTGCGGATGTGACAAGTGCTCACACACACTTCATCAACATTGTGTTAGAGTGTGAGTGTGTCACTGCCTAATGTGTCGTTACTGAGTGTGTGTGCTGGCATAAATGTGAGTGTGTGTGCTTGAGTGCATGCGCTTGTGTGAGAGTGTGCGTGTGTGCATGAGTGTATATGCTTGTGTGAGTGTGTGTGTGTGTTCATGAGTGTATATGCTTGTGTGAGTGTGTGTGTGTGTGTTCATGAGTGTATATGCTTGTGTGAGTGTGTGTGTGTGTTCATGAGTGTATATGCTTGTGTGAGTGTGTGTGTTCATGAGTGTATATGCTTGTGTGAGTGTGTGTGTGTGTTCATGAGTGTATATGCTTGTGTGAGTGTGTGTGTGTGTTCATGAGTGTATATGCTTGTGTGAGTGTGTGTGTGTGTTCATGAGTGTATATGCTTGTGTGAGTGTGTGTGTGTGTTCATGAGTGTATATGCTTGTATGAGTGTGTGTGTGTGTGTTCATGAGTGTATATGCTTGTGTGAGTGTGTGTGTGTGTTCATGAGTGTATATGCTTGTGTGAGTGTGTGTGTGTGTTCATGAGTGTATATGCTTGTGTGAGTGTGTGTGTGTGTTCATGAGTGTATATGCTTGTGTGAGTGTGTGTGTGTGTTCATGAGTGTATATGCTTGTGTGAGTGTGTGTGTGTGTTCATGAGTGTATATGCTTGTGTGAGTGTGTGTGTGTGTTCATGAGTGTATATGCTTGTGTGAGTGTGTGTGTGTGTTCATGAGTGTATATGCTTGTGTGAGTGTGTGTGTGTGTTCATGAGTGTATATGCTTGTGTGAGTGTGTGTGTGTGTTCATGAGTGTATATGCTTGTGTGAGTGTGTGTTCATGAGTGTATATGCTTGTGTGAGTGTGTGTTCATGAGTGTATATGCTTGTGTGAGTGTGTGTGTTCATGAGTGTATATGCTTGTGTGAGTGTGTGTGTGTGTTCATGAGTGTATATGCTTGTGTGAGTGTGTGTGTGTGTTCATGAGTGTATATGCTTGTGTGAGTGTGTGTGTGTGTTCATGAGTGTATATGCTTGTGTGAGTGTGTGTGTGTGTTCATGAGTGTATATGCTTGTGTGAGTGTGTGTGTGTGTTCATGAGTGTATATGCTTGTGTGAGTGTGTGTGTGTGTTCATGAGTGTATATGCTTGTGTGAGTTATAAAGGCTGAGAGTGTTTTGAAGAAAAGATTGCACTGCTAGATTAATGTCCCCTATGTTACCTAACTCGGACTCCCAGTTGACATTAACAGCAGCAGTTATAAAATTGCCTATAGCAGTTTCATTGTGTAGTCTAAAACGTATCACTCTTGACTCAAGAGGTGGTTTGTTAATGTTAGTTAAGAGAAATGTGGGGTAATGGTCTGTAGTGCTATCAGTGATTATCCCTGATGTAAGCGGAGAAGTTATGTTGGTCCAGATGTGATGTAGAGTCGTGGCAGTACTATCAGTGATTCTAGTAGGTCTAGTGATTAAGGGTATGAGGAAGCAGGAATTCATACAGTTGAGGAAGCTAACAGCAGTGGGGTGTTCTGGCTCGCAGAGGTCAATATTAAAGTCCCCTGCGATAATTAGATGGTTTTTGTTCAGTCTGTTATCTAGTATTAGATTTCTAAGGTTTGAGTTGAATTCGGATACGTTGATTCGGATTCGTAATTACAATATTTCGTGAGATTGAATATAATAGAGAATTTAAAAACATTTTGAACTTGCTTCAATAATATGATCGCCTTGGTCATTGGTATGCAGTGATATGGATTAACAGAACAAAAATAAAAAGATCACTTGGGGTGAATGAGCTTTGGGATTATTGAAATGTTATTCTTAAAACTTTTTAGGGTTTAATATGATATAAATTACATTTGATTAAATGGAGGACAATGGTGGTAAAAATAAGCTTTTGTCTATGTAAGTGTGCGCTATGTCAAGGGTTCGTATCCTGGCCGGGGAGGATTTACTGGGCACAAATCCTTAACTGTAGCCTCTGTTTAACGCAACAGTAAAATGTGTACTTGGATGTAACAACGATTCTTCGCGGCGGGGATCGTATTCCAGGGACCTGCCCGAAACGCTACGCGTACTAGTGGCTCTACAACCATGTAACAACTCTTCTATATATCTCAAAAAATGACTTATGGGAAAATTATGGATGACGTCATAATCGACGATCGACCCTATAGGCGCATTGATCAATTTTAACACGCTGTTCATTCACAATAGGAATTTTCTCAATATAAATTAATTTTTATTATATATTACCATACTGTACATATTTAGGCACTGGTTAGGTTAGGTGTTTAGGTTCTGTTGGCGATTATTTGTATTTGTAGTACGTGGGTGAAGCATTTATAGCGTTGTGGTTCGAACACCAGTCGTCAGTGAAGCACTTGTTCCGGATATGTTCGAACGTCAGCAGTTGTGAGTCGTGTGTAAACCGCTTTTCATTCATAAACAGGGGATTTGGCGGGTGCATGGAATCACTTTTGGATCTTTGTTTGGAGGACGGGCTGGATTATTGGTAGTAGGTGGGTGAAGCATTTACACCGTTGGGGTTCGAACACCAGTCGTCAGTGAAGCACTTGTTCCTTGAAGCACTCGAGTTTCTTGAAGTGTTAACTCTGCTACCCATCCTCAGATTGGCCTTGCCCCAGGGGAGACAGGCTGCCTTCCTCACAGCCCCAGGGGAGACAGGCAGCCTTCCTCACAGCCCCAGGGGAGGCAGGCAGCCTTCCTCACAGCCCCAGGGGACGCAGGCAGCCTTCCTCACAACCCCAGGGGAGGCAGGCAGCCTTCCTCACAGCCCCAGGAGAGGCCGCCTTCCTCACAGCCCCAGGGGAGGCCGCCTTCCTCACAGCCCCAGGGGACGCAGGCAGCCTTCCTCACAACCCCAGGGGACGCAGGCAGCCTTCCTCACAACCCCAGGGGAGGCAGGCAGCCTTCCTCACAGCCCCAGGGGAGGCAGGCAGCCTTCCTCACAGCCCCAGGGGAGGCAGGCAGCCTTCCTCACAGCTCCAGGGGAGGCAGGCAGCCTTCCTCACAGCCCCAGGGGAGGCAGGCAGCCTTCCTCACAGCCCCAGGGGAGACAGGCCGCCTTCCTCACAGTCCCAGGGGAGGCAGGCAGCCTTCCTCACAGCCCCAGGGGAGACAGGCAGCCTTCCTCACAGCTCCAGGGGAGACAGGCAGCCTTCCTCACAACCCCAGGGGAGGCAGGCCGCCTTCCTCACAGCCCCAGGGGAGGCAGGCAGCCTTCCTCACAGCCCAGGGGAGGCAGGCAGCCTTCCTCACAGCCCAGGGGAGGCAGGC